GGCGCCGCGCACCGCCTGCCAGTCCGTCCTCGTTAGTATAGTGGTGAGTATCCCCGCCTGTCACGCGGGAGACCGGGGTTCGATTCCCCGACGGGGAGGATGACTTCCTTTTTTCCCCACCGGGGCCCCGTTTCCGTGCGTGTAGCCAAGCGCTCTAACTTCCGAAAGGAAAAACGCTGAGTTTTGTGTGTGTGAACGCGTGTCTGAGGTGCGCACGTAGCTCTCTGCGCGGCAGGGGCTGTGCTCCTCTGGCGTTTGCCATCGCTCTGTGCTGCTTGCAGCGCGATCCTGGCCGCAGGAGCCATCTGGCTGCCCATGTCCCCTCGTTACACGGGGTTTATATCGCTCTTGCTGCCCTTCCCTCTTCCACATACACCCTGTTGCTTGTGGGTTTTTTCCCTTTTGTATTGTACACCAGGCACAGCTTCAACTCCCTGTTGCTCCAGGGCAGGAGCTCCCCTTCCCCGGGTCTCCCGCCCCATATCTGGCATGGGTGGCACAGCTTGCCCGCTGTTAGCCAGGGGAGCTGCCCTGCCTGTCTCCCCCCGCCCAGCCCCGACTTAAAATCTCATCCCACAAACTGATGAGGTCAACAGATGCTCCCCAGGGAAGGCCAGACCTTTGCGGCCAAATCTTGCCCTGAACCTCGCACCCTTCCCTGCCTGGCCCTGCCATGGGACAGGGGTGAGCAGGAAGGGGGTGTGCAGTGCAGGGAGTGCCATGGGTGAGCAGAGGCCCTGGCTGGGGCAGCTCAGCCCCCACCCAGGACAGAGCCGGCAGAGCACACCCACCCGAGGACCCCCATAGCCCCATCCCCAGGAGGTGGGGTGTGGGGCAGGGGGATGTAGCTCAGCGGTAGAGCGCATGCTTTGCATGTATGAGGTCCCGGGTTCAATCCCCGGCATCTCCAGGGCTGCCTTTTTCCCTCCCTGCACCCCAATTTTTTGCCCAGAGAGGCGTTTTGTCTGGGTTTAAAAGTGACTACGTTGCATCAGACAAAAAAAGTCTCCGTGTTTCCACTAATGCACGTGCATCCGTGAAAGGACTGCGTATGGTGATTTATCAATGGTATCAGACAGCTTTTGGTGGTGTTTGATTCTCCTTCTAACCTGTATGCAACTATACAATACACAGATAGGGTCACCTCTCACGTGTGGGTGTCTCGCGGCCAGACGAAGGCGCCACAGACGCAGAACAGCCCTCAAGCAAGAGAGAGGCATCAAAGTATGAACTTTAGGGGAACTCTGGCCTACCAGCCCTGCACCATTACTTCACATAGCAGAGAGCTGGCTACGTATAAACCTGCAGTCCCCCGAGAGCCTGCTCAGGGGTCTCTGGGCCACGCTCCCAGACGCAGAGCCAAAGGAAAAGCTAACAAAGCAGAGACAGCACAGGTACCCGCGCTCCCTGGCTAAGATGGTGCAAGAGCTTTTAGCTGGGGCTTAGCATGCGCCTTGCTGGCTCTGCGCTGGCTCTGCAGCGTCTGCACCGCCTCGGCTGGGCTGGTGGTTTCAGGAACACACACTGCACACAAACACAATAAAGAGTTCCTGCCCCAAAGAGTTTATAATGAAAGACATGAAGTGACAGACTTTTGGGCATAATGAATCAGTACTTGTCAGTGCAAGACATTCTGGTCTGTTTGGACCAACGCCGTACTCTTCACCAAGCTTGCCTTGAAATCGCAGCAAGGGGTATTTGTAAAGATGGCGAAGGAGAAAAATGGAGTGGCTTTGTTCAGGGACAACTCCTCCCGGTTCAGGAGAGCACTGCTCTCCAGCCAGCCAGTCAGTCCTATTTAAGGACTCTGTTAATTTAGGACCTAACATCTGTTTTGCAATCTGAACTTTACATGAATCTGACACTTTTGGGGTGCACTGCTCCACAATTTGATTGCTGGATTCAGACAACAGGTACAAATTCACTCAGGGTGCCCAGTGGTAGGCTGCCTCGCCTAATGAAATAAAAGAACAGCGCTGCCTCATCTGTATTTATTCACGTTATAAAACTCCGTCTCGTCAGGAAATAGATTGCCATGTGTTTTTTCAACTATTTTCAGGCCAGTCCTGAATGCATACTAACTAACTGAATATGCTTGGCATTATTATTTACTCTCAAACAAGATGAAGGACCTTCTAAATCTGAAAGTCTTTTCAAATCTTTTATGTTTACCTAACGCCAGATGTACACAATGTATGTGACTGAGCGCCATTCCAGCCTCAGCTTACACAGAAACGAAAAGACCTTTGGGGATCTTTTTCAGCTAAACCACCTGGATGGTTGAGCTGCCTTTTGTTTTTTTTTTTAAATTATTGTAATATGGAGCTTTAACAGAAATGCAAGGCACTGAGAGGTCCCCAGAGCATTCTCTTCCTGTAAAATCTCCATGTGTCAGGGAAACGTGGGCCAGTTTCCCTCAAACCAATCACAAGGCTGTTGCTGGGCCTCCTCTCCTTTCCTACTGGCGTGCAGCCTTGGGTATTATCTGTGTCCGCTTGGTAGGCAGCGGTTTTCTGTGGGCGCCTGCAAAGGAAGGATTTTGTTGGCGGACTGAGCCGAACGGTGTCTGGCGAGCCTTGCAAACAGCCTGGTTTTGTGCTCAGCCGTGCCCTCGAGTCGCTGTACGCCCTGACTAGGATGGCGCAGGAGCCAGCTCGAGCGCGACGGAGGTGTGCGAGGGGGCTGCCTTCGAAGTGGGCTCAGGATAAGAAAGAGGCATTATTATTATTTCTGTTAGTGATTAATTTTACCGCCGTGGCAAGGCCTCAGTGCTGAGTTGCAAAGTCCATTACAGCTCAGATATATACTCCATTTTACGTACGTGTATCTATAATACATACTCACTCCGTGATGTCTCAGGTGGACAGCTTGTCTGCAGGACTCGGACCTCTCGCTCTGTTCAACTTTCTTTCTCCTTCACTTCAGCTTTCTGCTTTCCCGGTAGCTTCTCTCCCTACCCTGATGGGGCTGCTCCTGCTTGGCGGCCGGACGCTTGGTGGCTTTCTCTGCCCCTTGCCACACGCCGGACCACACCTGTACTTACGCAAACATACACGCGACGGCGGCACGGAGGGTCGACCTTTACCTGCGCCAGCCCCAGCTGTTTTGTGTCTTCCCATACTGTTTCTGGACCAGGAGAGGGGAACCCCCCCCCCCCTGCCACTCTCTTGGGGCACGTTAAAAAATATCGGAGACTTTTTACACAGAAGTGGCTTCCTTTGGGCTAAAATAATCCCTTTTCCCTTTCCTCATGGGCACCCTGCTTCCTGGCGAGGCCCGCCAGAGGCGCCTCTCCTCACGGTGCCCGAGGGAAGGAAAGCAAGGAGGCACGTTTGAAACAGGGACCGAACCGCAGGTGCCTAGCCTGAATAAGATTTAAAAGTCGCACAAAAGGCTTTAGCCACGTACACGTCCCCAAAACTGAGGGCCCTCGCCGCAGGCCCCTCAGGGCTCTGGCCCCGCTCCAGCGGCTCCACGCCGGGTTTTACCCCGCGCTCCATTGTCCACTCACTGTCCCTCCCCGCCCTCCAAGCGCTCGAGGCCGAACCACCACCCCGCGGACCGCCTTGATTCCTCCGCGCTGCCGGACTCGTTGCCCTCCACTCGTTACCGCTGCGGCCGGGGG